AGTACTGCAAGCGAACAAGAACTTAGCTACGAAATGGAACAGTACTTGGCTCAAAGTCTGGTATAAAGTGATATATTATAAGATCAGGAAAACCCTTGCTTGTCGATATTTGGTACCACAATTTTTTCTTACTATACATTAAGTCAAACGGAATACTGTGATCATGAAGTTTACTATTCCGGCATGCATTTCAGTATATTCGGAATAGCGGGAATTTCGACCCCTGGTAAAATAAGACCTGCTTTCCACCACAACAAGGCGACGTGTAAACAAAGGTCAAACATAGTGATTCCTTACTGTATGTACCGTTCTCATTTCTGTCATAAACAATAATTATTGTAATTGTTTAATTATTTATTTTTATTGTAAGTTATACTTAAAATATACAATCATGTACAGTACTTACGGTAATAAACATGTTTAAGCATAATTATCGTAAAATGTTCTGTTCTTTTTCAGTTTCAATTCTCACCTTCCTTTTCATTGGCATATTGATCATCTCAGAATTTCAATATTACCGAGCAACAGACATTCAATACAACTATGAAGTGGATACTGATTCGGACAGGTATAATATACTGTGCAGTCTTATTGAAATGACAAACCTACATGTATGTACAAGTTAACACGTATGTGTGCAAAAGTATAAAGGTTGCAATAGACCTTTTTAAAAAGCCTGCCTTGTGATTGGTTTGCGGATAAAGGAAAACCCCGCACAGCCATTTGGCTTGCCTGATTGGCCAAACGATCATATTTATCCATAAACTATGTCTCAAGGCAGACTTTTTAAAAAGGTCTATTCCTGAACAATGTATTATATTTCATCACTTCCCGTTCCCTACTACCTATATTTGCAATCTATAGAAAATTACATTTGCTACAAATATAGGTTACCAACTTGATTTGTGGTAAATCTCAGTTTTTAAAACTTTGAAGCCTAGATTCTGCCCAAATATGCTTATTAATAATACCCTGCCTGCAGTGCCAAGACTTTCTTATTTCTGTAAGTTCATTGTTAGAGTTTTGTAACATCCTGTAGTCAGATTTACTATTAACAGGCTTTCAGAGTTATTGGTGGGCATATATGGTTGCCACTCTTTCCAATGTTTGCCATGCACTGACATGTCGTAATTTCCTCCAGCTGATGGGAGGAAACCGGAGTACCGGATCAAGGCTATGGCCATGGTTGTCAAAGAAAGTTATTATTAAGCCCTAAATAAAACAAATAGAACTTCTAAAGCGTGAAATAGTTACAGTGTCTTACAATGAAAGAGCTTATTATAAATAACAATTTCCTTTATGCAGTTTGCGATGAACACGATATAGGATGAACACGCATGTGTATGATTGCATGGCGACAAAAACTTGTGATGAATATGTTTGCGATGTTACTCTGAGTGCATATCCACACCGGGCGAGCTTGAAAAATATGCCCGGCCACGGTGGGATTCGAACCTACGACCTTTGGAATACCAGGTCGTAGGTTCGAATCCCACCGTGGCCGGGCATATTTTTCAAGCTCGCCCGGTGTGGATATGCACTCAGAGTAACATCGCAAACATATTATTCACCTGAGTACACAACACCAACACAGAAAAATTGTGATGAATAGTTTAATAAAGAACTAATTATTTTCCTTTGACAGTAAACTACAGATCAATGTTGACCTTACAATTGCTATGAAATGCCAAGGTAAGAATCTAGCTAGTGATTGACCGATAATCGGTATCGGTATCAGGCCGATTTTTGCCTTATCGGTAGACAATCGGAATCAGTATAGAATTATCTATATTTCCGATTGTCTAAAACCGATTGCTGAGAAAATGCACACTTTAAAAATTATATGTACTGCACGTTGATACACGTCGCGTTTTAACGCAATATGTTTGGTCATCATCTACACCTGCTGGTTAGTTGATTATAACAGTGAAAGGCTATAAAACTATAGAAATCGTCTTTCTAAAGAACGAGTCACGAACAATGATCATTTTTGTTTCTGAAAGCCAATCCCAAAACATGATCATTTTAGGTAGGTCTTTACCCAATATGTTAAAGAAAATGCGTGAAGCGTGCCATTTACTAACAGTTTCACTTTTAACGATCTTTGGTTGCGGTAACATGTTGAATGATGTCACCTTCACTCGGTCGTCTGATATTATGATGTCATTATAAAATCGGTGTCTGGCAGCTAGATTGTGGCATGCAGGCCTCGAAATAGATCTGGACGTTATACCGGTCATTATGACCGGTGGATCACTAAATTTACCGGTCACAGCGGAGTTTATGCCGGTCATTGTCACTCCTTGGCTTCTTTTTACCCTGCATTCCAGGGTTTTTTGTTTTGTTTTTTTTTAATTGATAATTGATAATTTAATAAAATACCGATTTGTAACTTAAATTACATCAGTAAAAAGTCTCATTATACTACAATAGAATATCTAGATGCATAAAATTATTCATAACTTCAGTTGAAAAAGTTATAGAGTTCAAATTTAAAAATATTAAAAATATTAAAATTATGGTCTATTCATATGTGAAACCATCTGTGGAAAAAAAGATTTCATAAATCTGTCCGTTTTACAACTATAGTTATTATAATCGCTTCCATAACGTGTATTATAGTTATGTTCAAGTTTAGGCGGTAAGAGGTCACCCAATTTGTCGCCATGTGCATTTTTAACAAAAAAACGTTCGCATAATAATCGCCGCCGATCTTTCAGTAAGGGTATACCAGTAATACTGCAAGCTTCTCTATAAGTAGCGAATGGCAAGACAATACGCAGAGCCCGCTTCTGGAGTTTTTCGACATCTTCACTTAGGTATTCTGTAATATTGAAGTGCCAAACTTGGCAGGCATATTCGAGTACTGGTCTGATAATGGTGCAGTATACCAAAATTAGAATGCTATTGTCGGCATTTGATCGTTTTAACAACCTTAGCATATAAAGGCGTTTTCCCACTTTTTTAACAATATGGTTCACATGCTCGTTCCATTTCAAATCATCTTGGATTGAGAGACCAAGAATTCGGGCAGATTTTACCCGCTCAATACCAACGTTATTTATAGTTAACGGTACAAACTCATGTTTTTCTCTTGCAAAGTCAATTACCATTTCCTTACATTTGCCGATGTTGAGCTTCATATTATTAACTTCACACCAATTATAGATAACATTCACTAGATCTTGGAGTTCACTACTCTCAGTTGATGTAACTCGTTCAGCAAACGTACTGTCATCAACATACTTCCATCTATCGCTCCAATCAATAAGAAGATCATTTATCATAACAAGGAACAAAGCCGGCCCTAACACCGACCCTTGCGGCACTCCACCGTTTAACGTTTGCCAGTCCGAATGACAGTTAGCCAAATTGACTCGTTGTTTACGATCAGAGAGAAAACTTCTAATCAAATTTATAATGGTTTGGGAAACACTCAATTGTTGTAGCTTATTCACCAGTATGTTGTGATCTATTCGATCAAAAGCTTTTTCAAAATCAAGCAAGAATACTCTCACCGCATTGCTTGAAGCATCTGTAGCACTCAGGAGGTGATGGATCAGGCTCAGTAGGGCATGGGTGGCCGAGGAATTTTTAACGGAGCCAAACTGCCGCGTATCAATCTTTGCACCAATTGACTTAAGTAACCAGTCTGTAACAAACCGTTCGCAAATTTTGGATAAAGTGGGGGTAAGTGAGATAGGGCGCAAATCTTTAGAAATGTCTTTAGGGACTGATTTTTTTGGAACAGGGATAACGTTTGCTTTTTTCCACATTGAGGGTACAACTGCTTCTTGAATCGAAGCGTTGAAAATCGATGCCACAGGGGAAGAAAGAACGTATGCATAAGATTTAAGCACCCAATTAGGTATTCCGTCAGGACCGGGTGATTTGGAAACGGGGATGGCGGACAATTTACAGTATACATCTTTTTCTTCGATAATAAACTGTGGAAGGATACTTGTACTGCCATTTTCAATTAGGTCATCAACTGGAGACTTATTCAAGGGAGGAATATCTTGGGTAGATGAGACAAAAACATCATTGATTTTATCTGCTAACTCTTTACCAGCAAAACCCTGGTTGTTTACAACGAAATTAGAGAATGTTTTGTTCTTGGCGAAACCCGCAAGCTGTTTTATACATTGCCACCATTTTTTAGCATTGGGGTTTAGTTTTAACTCATCCATCTTTTTCTTAAGGAAGGTTGACTTGAGTCTCTTACTTTCTCTATTGGCAAGATTTCTCAATCTACGATATAGCGGACTTTTGCCCTGACGAAACGCTCTTTGTCTATTTTCTATAATTTTCTTAAATCCGACTGTAACCCATGGTTTATCATGATCGTGCAACTTTACAATTTTACTAGGGAAAAAACAGTCCAAACCAGTATTTATAACTGTTTGAAAAAAATCTAACTTTTGTTCACACGATTCAGCGCGGTACAAGTTGTTCCAGTTTATATCAGCTAGCCACTTACCGAATGCTCTCCTGTCATGATTGTTACCTTGTCTAGTTTTCACTTTTGATGTACCATATTTAGCTGTATTTTTATTAAAGGACCACAGTATGGAATTATGGTCACTTTGGCCGACAGGGGGTAATAACACCGGAGAGTTACAACAGGTAGTCATATTTGTCAAAATTAAGTCCAATGTGGAATTTCCTCTTGTGGGTTCTTTAACTATCTGTTTCAAAGTAAAATGACGTAGTAGGGAGGAAATTGGGCATTTATTAAAGTTTCCAATGAGAAAAATACCAGCGTTGGGGTACAATATAAGAGCAGCGTCAAGTTTAGATGTTAGGTGATCGATTAAGGCACAGTTATCATTGGAGGGAGGGTGATAGACCACACAGATAATCAGGCAGGAAAAGCCACGGAAAAGTTTATTTGGTCTGGTCCTGGTCTGGTTTCGCGCCGTTAATTTTCGCGCCATTAATTTCATGGCTTCGGCAAATTTCCTTTCATCATGTGGAAACACCATTGCCTACCCATAATTCTTTGTTTTCATTGCACATGGTTTCTGTTTGTTGTTCAATTTTGGAGTGAGAATATTTCACAATTTCTTCATGTTTTGAACTATTTATCGTGAAATCAAACTGCTGAGCCAAGGCTTTGGTAAAGCGACCAAATTAGACACGAAAGGTACGTAGATTGCGTTGAATTGGGTCCTAGTTTTGGTTTAGAAAACTGTGATAGATAATAGTGCATCATCTCTGACACTTTGACTTGATCTTTTGGGCAAGATCACAAATTGATTCCCGCATCATCCGCGCTTATTAACCTTGCCACACGAGAAGCGACCTTAGTGCTGAGCTGCTTGAATTAAGTAGCCAACGAGAACCCACAGTCTCTTCATGTGAGTTTTATAATAGATCAAAATGGTCACAATGGAGGGACACGCAAACAATCTTATCAACGATGTTGCTGTTGACTAGTGTTGAAAATGCATAGCTGCGTAGAGCTAGCGAGGCGGTTATCTTGGCAAGTCTTTCATGTGCGGCAGGCTTTATTGAGACCTATTTTTGACAATGTTTTGGTTGTCAAAATTTGCAATGCAAAGTTTTCAGTTCAATGTTTATATGACCCACATTGACCTTCTGGGCAAAATATTTTGACAACAATGACCTGCTATTTGACAAACAGACGGATAACACGCCCCCAAGAACTTGTCGAAAACTGCCCAACTCTGCAAGCTGCAGAGCATGTGTCATGCCGTACACCTTCTCTAGGTTTGCAGCGCCATCTTGCCTAGTGGGACAAACACAAAGATAAAATGGAGCTATTGCAAACCCCGAAAAGGCGTAATTCGGCTTGATAGTTTGGCATGTGATTACATTTTAAGGTAGATAATTTCTCAAATGGATATGTATAAAGGCCCGGTCACACTACACAACGATAATGATATGATAACCTGTAACACGACGATTGGCAAGAAAATTCTGTTACTGTCCACACTACAACGAAAATGATAAAATTATTGTTTGACGCTCTCTCGAGCAATTTTTTTTCTTCAGTTGGATGTTGAATTTTTTACCAATCAGCGCACATATACAAGTTATCATATCATGTGTAGTGTGACCGGGCCTTATAAAGCAGTACTATCTGGACAAACAAATTATCTTGACATGGCATGATTTGTAGTTGGGGATCATATTCAAGTTGCCACACCAATTGATGTTTTGGGTGGGTAGGTGGGTCAAGAGTATTATTCTGTGATGGTTTCACAAATTTCTAGGATGGCATATCGAAGTAAGAGTGAAAGGGGTCAAAAGGCAGAACAACGATTGTTGGCTGATCCGTACGACACTGAGTCATGGAATGTCTTGTTACGAGAGGCTCAGGTGAGGTATCAGCTGAAACAACCATTTGATTGTATGATGTTTTAGCCCATAGCAACCAAGTTATCTCCTCTGGGAGACACTACACCTTTTTGACAGTGGCAGACACTTTGCAAAATTTTGGGGAAGCAAATATAAATTGCCAACATATAGCCACTTTTTGTTCCCGAAAATCTTAGTGCTTCAAACATTTTTGTGTTAAATTTCATGTAATATTTATATAGCTGAATTTATATAAACTTGAAAGGTTTGTGCTAGCGTAGGGCGTAAAAAAAAATACCTGTGGTTCCGGTTTCATATCGTGAAAAAATTGGGGTCGGTAGGTCGGAAATAATTTTTTTTTAAAAATATTTTTTTCATGGTTTTGGCGGTTTTTTGCTGGGCAATTTGCAGTAGAGTCTCGACATCAATATTAACTAGAGATGCCTATTTCCTATGGCCGAATTTAGGTTATTTGGTTCAATAATTAGTGTGACAACAGACGCCATTTTGGCACGCTATATGAGCGGCCCGCAACCACCTGGAGAAAATAGGGTCGCACAGTCAATCGCATTGAAAAAAATAATAGGGTCGGCAGAAAAAAAGTAGGGTCGGTCGGGAAACGGAACCACAATTTTTTTTTTACGCCTAGGTAGTGACAATAACGCCAGAAATCTGTGGATTGAAAGGGATTTGACTATGTGAAAATACAAGTATAAAACATGTCAGGCTTCCCATTGGGTTATTCCAGCTATGGACGAAATTTTGATCTAGACAAGAAGAATTAATTCCAATTTAGAAAGAGCATCTTAAAATGAGTAAATTGCAAAGTTTGGTTGCGAAATGTTGTGAAATGAGGAAAGTATAGCCCTGTGAAGTTCACAAATTCTGTATATATTTGCGGTGCTCATTCGAGGGCGGCGTTCTTTAAAAAAATTTGATCTCAAATGCGGCACTCATTTGGGGGCGGCACTCAATCGGGGGCGGCACTCAATCGAGTAAATACGGTATACAAAATTTGCGACCTTCACAGAGCTATATTTTCCTCATTTTACAACATTTTGCAACCAAACTTTGCAATTTTACTCATTTAAGATGCTCTTTCTAGGTATGGTGTTGGATTTCATTCTTCTTGTTTAGATCAAAATTTCGTCCATAGCTGGAATCACCCTTTCGTCAAGGCGGTTTTCCACTAGGCAATGTTTCTATTGTTCAAATTCCAAAGATTTCTGATTAGTTCCATCTGAGTGATTGTAAGAAAAAAGAAAATTTCGATTCAGTCGAAAAATTTCGCCTAGTGGAAAACCGCCTTCAGGCTTCCCGACTAAGGCGTAAAAAAAAAATACCTGTGGTTCCGGTTTCATATCGTGAAAAAATTAGGGTCGGTAGGTCGGAAATAAATTTTTTTTTTGAATATGTTTTTCATGGTTTTGGTGTTTTTTTTTGCTGGGCGATTTGCAGTATTGTCCCGACATCAATATTAACTAGAGATGCGTATTTCCTATGGACGAATTTAGGCAATTTGGTTCAATAATTAGTGTGACAACAGACGCCATTTTGGCACGCTGTATGAGCAGCCCGCAATCACCTGGAGAAAATAGGGTCGCACGGTCAATCGCGTTGAAAAAATAATAGGGTCGGCAGAAAAAAAATAGGGTCGGTCGGGAACCGGAACCACAAGTATTTTTTTTTTACGCCTAACTTCCCAACAAAGGGCCTTTGCCCGAAATATTGAAGATTCACTTGTATGTTTCAGGTAGTTGAATCCTTCTCAATCCACAGCGTATTTGTACTAAAATTGACATGCTTTTATATTCTAGACATTGCCCATTGCAAGTGGAAGACAGCTCTATGAAAGACTTGTCGACCGGTTCCCAACATGTGGCCGTTACTGGAGGCTGTACATTGAACAAGAGGTTTTTAATATTTAAATATTTATTTTTCTACAATATGCTTTATCCTCACCAAATAATTGTTTTTTGCCCACAATTTTTCAGGAATGATTTTTACCGTCTTGTTGATTGTGCCCCAAATATGGTGCGGCCAGTGCTATCAGACCGCAACTGTGCGTAGCTTTGAAAATGTTACCGAAGGTTGCTTGAAAGCACAGCTAGTACCCGATCATATTCTGATAACTAACATAGTTTTTCTAAACTAATCATATATTCAGAAAGGTTTATATCGTAATACCTAGTTCCTTCAATAAAGCACAATTTGTGCCAATTGTCGGTTATCTGTAGTTTTGAAGTTACAGTTAAACGTAACATCTGCCATTTCAAACAAACTTGCTGTGTGGTCTGGTTAATGTGTTTTGTGTTTTCATTTGTTGAGTATGTAACGTTTGATTGTCTTCTACACCATTTATTTCAATAGATTTCAAGGGGTGGGAGGTGTACTACAGTACTAGCAAGGGTAGGCCCATGACTTGACCCATTAACCCATTGAGCCACAATGCGCCCCATTGCTCCCCACTTCTTTTGTTACTTGTCTAACGCCAGACAATTTTACTCGTCAATGGGGAAGAGCTCTGCAGCCACAATTAACCAAAAAATCTGACAATGTCTCCAGTTAACCCTTTGAGCCGCAGTACACCCCAGTACTTTTTTTTTACTTGTCTAATGCCAGACAATTTTACTTGTCAATGGGGAAGCTCTGCAGCTTAATGATCTAACCAAAAGTGTTTCTAGTTAACCCATTGAGCTGCAATGCACCCCAGTACACCCTACTTACTTTTTTTACTTGTCTAATGCCAGACGATTTTACTCATCAATGGGGAGAGTGCTGCCGGTCTAATACACTCTACTCTCATGTTATTCTACTCTGTCTAATGTCAGACAATTTTACTTGTCAAGGGGAGAGCGCTGGTGCTCTGCTTAATGCGTTTTGTGTTTTCTTTTGTCTAGTAGATATATGATAAACTTGTGGCCCTCAAAATTTACAAAATTTAAGATATTAGAACACAGTCCCTATTTAAAGTTAATAATTTTAACTTTAAATAGGGACTGTGTTCTAATATCTTAAATTTTGTAAATTTTGAGGGCCACAAGTTTATCAGTTTCTAACTGTCACGTGTTACCCTCAGTAAATAAAGCCCTTCACTTCACTTCACTTCACTTCACTTCACTTCACTTCACATATAATAATATGTAGTACTAGTGTGTAATTCATGTTATGACTATGTATTGAAACATACTCAAACATGTACTACTCTGAGCCATGTATTTCAACAGTCGGTGCCAGTATAGGTAGTAACGATAAGTCGATAGACAGTATAAGCAGAACTTTGACGTTTTGAGCAAAGGCCATTCGTCGGCAAGTTAGGATGAGCTTCTAGCTAGTACAAGATACAGTACTACCCGACGAAGGGCCTTCACTCGAAACGTCAACATTCTGCTTATATTTTTCAGGAAGTTGTGTCATGTATTTAAACTCAGGCCAAAAAAAAAGATGTGGGTTTCCTATTTCTTCTTATAAAAACTTAGGTAGGGTAGGTCGGTTTTAACTTTTTTTTAAACTTTTTTTTTAATTTTCCTAACAACCGGACGCCATTTTGTTTAGTCAGTGCTTCCACATCCAAAGATAAATTTCCCTAATATTGCCTCAAATTTCAATTTTCCACAAACGTTTTCCTCTAAGTGGAAACACTTACCAGCATGATGCAATAAAAAGGTTTAGGGTCGGGATTTCGACGTCCGAAAGCTAGGTAGGGTCGGGAAACCGGAAACCCACATATTTTTTGGCCTCATCTTGTATGCTTGATGCGTGTTAAAGTGGCTTGTAAGGGAAGATGAAGGAATACCGTTTTGCAGAGCCATCTCAGCTCACAGAGTGCAGTTTAAAGGAGATAAAACAAAGCTGCATGTGGCTTCCTTTTATTTAATCTGGGTTGTATTACATTTGGGAAGAGTGTGTCCAATTTGTTTCTTTCAAACAATGTGCATAATAGTGACACTGGACAAATAAAAGACAACCATTACTGACCACTAACTTCCAAACGAAGGACCTTAAAACGTCCAAGTAACTTCAATTTTTTCAGGTAGTTGCATCTTACACAGACGCCTAGCATTATTGCACCTCTAGGGAAGGTAGTTCAGAACTGATATGTACTGAAGAGCTATACAGCATAGACAGAGTGTATAGTAGCACCAAAACATACAAAAACGTTTGTTAGAAATCTTCAGTAGTATTTGGGGAGGGGGTTAGTTGCCTCTTTTTAAACGGTAATTTATGGAAGAGCAAGTTTATGACGACGCCCTTGTTTTGATGCAGTTTAAAACTGATAGACTTACCCATGCAGTATAGACATAGTGTACTGTAGTACTTTACTTTTGTACCAGAACATACAAAGAACAGTTGTTCTATTTGTGACAAATCTTCCGTAATTTTATTGGGGAGGATAAATTGCCCACGTTAAATTTATTTGATTTCCAGTACATCCATTTCTCTGGTAATGTTAGTCTTAGAACTAATGGCGCGCGGTTGTTTTGTTTACTGTTGTTTAACATCCCTGCAAAAGCATTGTATTTTCTGCATACTTTCTCTCCATATACTGTGGATGCACTAAATCGTCTGGGAGTTGTAATGTTAGTAATCTCTAGGGTCCTTGTATTCAAATAAATATACAGTTCTGCTAAAATAGCTTTTTTGACTAATGATGATGAAGTCGTTATAATTTTTTATTGCAATTTTGTCGTGGATGCAATGATGCATACACTTCTTTTGCTTTCACACTTACAGTATTCGTATTTCGCTAATAGTCATAGACTCTATTCTTAGTCTAACGCCCGTATTCTAAAAGCACACTCAATGAGTGGAGGTTCAATCTGAGATTCTCTTGAGTGTCATGCTGTTTTTGAAAGCTGGAGGGTGAGTAGTCACATAGTAAGGGATGACACTAGCCCTTCAGCTATTCAAAAACAGCAATGCCACTCGAGAGAAGCTCAGATTGAACTTCCACTCATTGAGTGTGAGTGAGCTTTTAGAATACGGGCGTAAGACAATAGTCCTAAAGTTGCATTGCTGTAGTCGCATACAATTTGTCCCACTAGCCTATCGCCTCGCATACAGCTTGGCTTTTTACGTATAGAGCTTGGTAGACTGCGAGTAGCCTGCGAACAGGCCCTGGGTTACAGGCGGCGCGAAGAATAGAGGGCCTGCACGGAACTATAGGTTTTCTTGGTAGTGGCGTTCGTATAGAAACGCAGGCTTCTGATTGGCTTACACTCGTTGACAAAATTACTAAAAATAGCTAATGTCAACAACAGCATTTTGAAGAATTTGAACTTTATTCATTTTAATATTATATATTATAAGACTATCGAACAAATAAAACTAGAAATGGAAACCAAAAGCAATAGCAAAGCATCACAGCAAAAAGTCTATCATAAATGACTTGAATCTATCGCTTAAATCCAATATACGAAACTATAACAGTATTCTGAACTTCGTCTTCGGATTGACATCAGACTATAGTAGTAGTATAGTACATTTTGAGGTCGTCGTGGCTTCACGGATTATTCGAAGGTATACAAAAGAAACCCAAATATGTACGAATAATTATATTGTTGATCCTCGCTGGCATGTCATTTTAGATATAAATATATATCGTACATTAAACGCTGTGTACTATTTACTGTATAAACTGCTGACAATTTCGTCGTCGATACGGCTTCCACCACTATGCTTCCACTATTGGCACACTCGTGATTTCGAAGAAATTAGTAAATACATGCTCATTTATCATTTATTTAGACCACAGTTAGTAAAATTTTAGACGTATTCGGTATTCCAAATCCCAATCTATCTGACCGTATTGTAGTAATAGCTTCAAATATTCAGAACATTGTTCTTTCAGTCGCACATAGTACAAGTATTGCTGTACATTGATTCAATGCCAATGGTAGTATTTTATTCGGCTTTATATTTGTATGTGTATTGATATCTATTTAATATTTGAAAAATTCTATATTTTTCCGAGTAATATTTTGTGCGGCCCGCTAATGCTTTGTATTATTGTTCATATATACATAATGTATATATTTTAATATTCAGTATTTCTTCGTTGCACAATGTACACGCCTTGCGTCAATTTGACAGTTGACAGTTTATTTATCGCAGTCGACGCTGATTGGTTCGCGTTTAGCAGATGCGAAAAGGGGATGATTGAATAAAACGCATGGTTCCGTGCAGGCTCACCTTTCTCCCAGTGAGCCTGTTCGCAGGCTAGACTGCGAGCGGTCCCTCCTTTCCACATATTTTGTTTCCCGGGCGTACGAGGGGAATGGAGAAACTGCCGACAACACATCAAGAAACGAAATACGCCCACTTTTCGCTCTTGTCAAGTTGGCTCCGCATTTGCATAAACATTACTTATATCCAATTAAATCTATCCAATAGGAACTAACGATGTCATGTTTATTTATAGAATCAACATTCAGTCTGGAAATTATTTATAGCATAATTACTAAATATCAGATTTGATTGACAGGCGTATCGATTTCGACTAAGGGACCGGTCATTATTTATGGTGGGGGGTGGCACCGAAGAGAAATGTTTTTCGTGGGAAAAATTTTGCTGACCCAACCACCAAAAAGTCAAAAATTTGATTACCCAACCTCAAATATCAATTAAAAAATAAATACCCACCCCTGGCCAAAAACTTTACAAAAGGATACCATTCAGTTGTCACCATGTCCTTTACCACTTCTGTGACATGAGTTTGACAACGGATTGTGAAATGTTCTGCCGTCTAAAGTTTCATATTGTCTGCACATGTAGTTTCTAAATTGGAGATACCATGCATTTGTCTACCAACAAATCGGAAAATGACAGATAGTGACTCTGATTGATTCACATATTGTATTTACATATGCTTTTTAGTCTCCAATATTTCAGTGAGTCATGCTTTGGAAATGACAATAATTTTTTATTACCCAACCCTTGAGTTGTTTTGTTTTTCATTTACCCAACCTTTTACTTACGAAAATTTTGTTTACCCAACCTTTTTCTCTTCGGTGCCACCCCCCGCCATAAATAATGACCGGTCCCTAATGGCGATTTTACCTTGTGTGGGCAACACGTACTTCGTTTCTTGATGTGTTGCAATCTCGTACCCATAGCAACGCCTGTGCGCGGGCTAGGAAGGCATTGGCTCTGGGGAAATTGACAACCGGAACCCCTAATCCGGTTCTTTGTCGGCATGGACGATTGATAAACGTTAAACCAATCACAGCACAGGAAAAATTCAATTTCCCCAGAGCCAATGCCTTCCTAGCCCGCGCACAGGCATTGCTCTGGGACGAGATTGGATGTGTTGTCTGCAGTCCCTCG